TTTTTTTTTTTTTTTTTAGTGCATATTGTGTGTTCCAGGCACAATTCAGAGCTAAAGAAGTAGTCTAGATGGGATCAAGTCAGGCAATGGCCAAATTAACAATGAAGTGTTCCCTCCTGAAGTCTTAGTAGCAGAATTAGAAAATTTTTAGAGCTGGAAAGCACAGAGCAACAGCTGCCATACACACCTCTGCTGGAATGAACTGAAAGCTATTTGGTCCCCAAGGAACGTCTCTCCTCTTCACCTCCTGAAGAAAGATAGTGCCATAACCTGAGTGTGTGACATCCCTCTGCGTCATAAAAGGCAGAACCGGAACTGGCCTGCATTCCAGACCGCCTCCTAGCAACGCCAGTCAGAGAAAGAACTGTCAAGGTGGGTGGGAAATGAATTGGTGCTCCCAGGGTCGAAACATATTATGTTCCAACGGGTGAGATAATCCCAGCCCTTAATGAGGCAGAAATGAAATCATATGTTATTTGACTTTAACGTTTTTAACTTTTATTTTCCTTTCCTTCCTCTTCCCCACCCATCTCTTCCTTCTTCCTCCCTCCTTCCTTTTTTTGGTATGTGTGTGTGTGTGTGTGTGTGTGTGTGTGCGCGTAGACAGCACTTACGTCATAAAAATAACTGCATATTGGAAGCAGAATTATTTCTGATTTTGGAAATTTCCTGCCAAGCCCATGTCTTTTCAACACAGTCATTACTATATCAGGAGAGGAACTAGCTGTATATCAAAGGCCCTTATAAATGGCCGAAATAAGGTCAGAATCTTCCCTGTGTGTGTTAGTGACAAAACATTTAAAATTTATTTAGTTTTCATTTGCACTTCAATACCATGCCCACAGTGCCATTTTTTTTTTTAAGAGGGAGAGGCGAAAAATAAGGTGGGGACCCCCGGCCACTCTGTTCATAAAAGGCACCTCTTCCTGCCTCTCCCCTTCACTGGCATATGAACTTCTTTTTCTTTCCAAATGGGTCAATTGAGAGGATGTCAACATTGCTCTGAATAAAAGGTGCTAGAACGCCATCACCAAAACCAAACAAGGTGCACAAAATGCTGACTGTCCATTTACTACATTTGTTTTGTTCAGGTATGTGCACTTTCCTTTAAATGTCCTCTTGACTGGACCCTACCAAATAATCTCCACTGTAACCAAGAGGACTTGCTGGTGAAAATTCCTCCACCCGAGCTCAGGAAGCATTAACAGCTTAAATGTTTTTAGCGAGATTGGTTTTATTTTACTGTATTAAATATCTTCATGGCTCCCAGAATACCTTTTGTTTTTAGACCTTGAGATGTTGGGCTAGGATTGATTCCAAGGTTACTCTCTTGCCAGTACATTTGCGTTTATAATATCATTAAAGTTGAACAAACATGAAAAGCCTGAACTGGAAAGTCAAATATAAACTAAAGGGACACACTACTCTTTCATTTTGCAGGTCGATTTACTCAGAGCAAAGAAAAAGCAAAGCAGGCCATTGAAAGCTCTTTGTATTGGCTTGTTTCTGACTTTTCTTCGGATTTACATTATTATTTCATGTTTTTTATCATTAATATAGTTTGGGTTCTCTCAGAATAAGTTACAGTTTTGATCTCTTTCATGTCTTTCTGGTGTGACTTCATTGTGATTATATGGGATTTGACCTCGATACATTTTTTGTTGTTAATTTTTTATGAAATCAGCTCTCCTGAATGTTTAGAGTGTAGCAGTGATCGAGTAGGCAGTGAGCATGAGCAGAGCAGGGACAATAGGCCAGGTATGGAATGTCACC